GGGTCATCTCACTCACTCGCCGGGCCTGCACTCTCTGGTTGATTTCTTTATGATAGCCATTCTTTCTAGGGTGAGATGGTTTCTCAGTGTCGTCTTAATTTGCATTTCATGGATGGCTAATGATGTGGAGCATTTTTTCATGTATTTATTTGCTTCTGTAATTTTGTCCTCTGAGAAGCATGTGTTCATCTTGGATACCCATTATTTTATTTATCTATTTAGGTCTTTTTGAGTCAGGGTCTAGCTGTGCAGTTCAGGCTGGCTTGAGCTCACTTTGTAGCCCTCTCAAAGGGTCTCAAACCTCAGACTGGTCTCAAACTGTCAATGTTCCTCCTGCCTCAGTCTCCCAAGCACTGGGATTAGAGGTGTGCGCCACCATGACTGGCTTCGTTGTATGTTTAAATTGTATTGTTCCAATCACTAATGAGGTTGTGTGCTTTCATGTGTTTGGTATTTATTTACACAGATTCTTTGGTAAATTGTCTAATAAATATTTTGCTCATTTGTTTAATGGATTGTTTTATCATGAGGCATGAGAGTTTAACAATATGGATGAAAGTATTTTATCTGATAAATCATTTGCAAATATCTTGTTCAACTTTTCGTTTGTCTTCAGTTTTTGTTTTGTTTGCTTATTTTTGAGATAGGATCTTAATATGTAGTCCAGGCTGGCTTTGAACTTATTATGTGACCCATTCTGGCCTCAGATTCACAGTGATTCTCTTGCCTCAGCCTCTCCAGAGCTGGAATTTGAGGTGTACACAACCATGGCAAACTATTCTTCTCATTTTCTTAACAGTGTATTTAGGATGGAAGTATTTAATTTTAGTCCAGTCCCATTTATCTGTTTTCTTTAAATTGGATGATGCTTTTAGTATCATAGCTAAGGAAGTTCTGCCTAACCCAACCAAGTTCACAAATATTTTTATGCTGTTCTAAGTCACATCGCATCTTAAATTTAAGTTCTGATTTTTCGTTGCTAGCATAATGTTAATGCAATGGATATTTTGAGTAGTGATTTTCTAGCTTGTATCCTTGCTCATGTATTAGTGCTCATGGCTTTTTGTGGATTCTTAAAACAGATTTTTGTAGGATTTTTGGATACATCAACTAAAAATAAAGCTGGCTTTGTCCCTTTTAGGGGTAAATGATGTTTAGTTTTCTTGCCTTATTGCACAGAAGAGGCCTCTAATATAACACTGAACAGAAGTGGTCAATAGTGGTGTAAGTCCTTGCCTTGTTCCAGATCTTATCCAGTTAGTGTTAAGTCCTTCACTATTTAATTTGATGCCTTTTATAAGAACTGTTTTCTCAAGGGAGTTTCCTTGTAATTCTGGGAGATACTGGATTTTGTCCAATGCTTTTCCTGCTTCTACTGAAATGATCATTTAGTTTCTCTTTTCTTCTTCCTTTTTTAATCTTAATTAATATGGTAAATTACATTGGTGATTTTTTCAATGCTAATTCAAACTTGTATTCCTGAGATAAATCCCTCTCTGGTCATTATTATCTTTTTTATATATCATGGAATTTCTGCATTTATGGTTTTGAGGTATAATGATCTAAACTTTTCTCATTAATGCTAGGGTTTGAATATGAAAGCAATTGGTTTTGAAACTGTCTCATTGCTATTTGTTTCTCAATAAAATTAATAAAAAATGAATATGAGGGCAATGTCTCAGAGTGAACTGCAGGTATTTCTATTCAATTTTATTATTTTTTTCCTCTTCAATTTTTGGAGGAATTTTTTCTTTTTCTATGAAATTATACTTTCATTATATATACATATTGATACTAATGCAACAGAAAGCTAGAGTGACTGTATTACAACCAGATAAAGAATACTTTAGAGCAAAGAATATTACAAGGATAGAGGAAGACCACTTACAAAGTGAGGAATTTCATCATTAGTAAGTTTTATAAAGGGTAAATTCATTTACATAACAAAATAATACAAGTATTTCTGCAATTGTCTTAGCCACTTGTTACTGAGACAAAATACGTGACACCCAAAGTTTAAGGACAAAAGATTTATTTTGGCTTTCAGTTTGTAGAGATTTCAGTCCATAATTGGCTGGCTCCAAAGTAAGGTGGCATGGCAGAGGGGCAGGGCAGAGCAGAAGATAAACAGTAGCAACAATAAGTGACAACAGCAGATTTTTCTGTCCTTTTATTTTACCCTAAGGGCAGGCAGCACTCACATCCAGAACTAGGCCAAACTAATCAGTACACAAATTTAGTAATTTATACACCCTTAATTTTGACATCATACACTCTAGATCCAATCCTCTCTAGTCTATCTATGATCTCATAAGGCTTTGTAGAGACATCTAGGCACAAGACATAACAACAAGTAATAGAAGACCTTCCCAATTACTGGATAGAAGTAGCAGAAAAATCCACAAATTTTTTTTCTATAATTTTATTAAGAAACAAATAGCAATGAGACAGTTTCAAACCAAACTGGTAGGACAGTTTCAATAATTAACACATTTCATACATTCTTCCTAGTGGTTAATTGCTGTACAAGATGTGGACATGATATCCTATTTACAAACCCCATTAGAACAAATCCCTCTATTCATTAAGAGAATGTAACTATATATCTATCCTAACCACTTTGAATACAGATACAAAATGGACATTCATCTGTATCCCCTTTTTTTGTTAACTTCCATCATTTAAATATTATAGGTGTGTAAACTCAGCAAAACAAAATCCACAATTATAGTCAAGTTTCAATACTCCTTTCTGAATGAATAATTAACAGGATAAACCGAAAATCAGGAAATCTATGGAGGATTTAGACAATAATAACAACTTGGCTTGATTGACATTTGCAGAACCCTCCACCCGGTAACTGTAGTATTCATATTCATTGCAAAAATCAGGTGAATATTTACCAAGACAGATTATATTCTGGTCCACAAAACCAGTGTCAATAAACTTAAAATGATTCAAATTATACAAAGCATTTTCTCTGATCACAATGGCATTAAATTATAAGTAAAATATATCCAGAAAATTGATCAATAATTTCAGATAATACAGTAAATACCCTTACAAAGAACACATGGGTCAAGGAAAAACCAAACGAGGAATTAGATATAGTATACAATAACGGAAAATGAAAACACGTCATATCAAAATATGTGGGACACAGCAAAAACAATATATGGAGAGAGAGATCTGTTCCACTAAATGTTTATATCACGGAAGAGACTTACATCGATAGTGACTGCAAATTACTAAACTAGAAAACTTAAAAACTAAAAGCAGAAGAAAATTAATAAACAAATCACTGAACTAGAAAACAAAAAGTAAATCTAGAAAGCAAAACTGGCTTTGCTGGGGTCGGGCAGATAGCTCAGTAGAATAAGCACCTGCCTGGCAAGCGCAAGGCCTTGAGCTGAATCCCCGGTACCGCAAAAACAAAACAAAAATTATGAAGCTTGATGAGCTTCTTGCAAGGGAAGACACAAATCACCAATTCTAGGAATGAGAGGGGGTAGATTTTCATATACTGGACAAGAAAAAAAAAAAAGGTATGTTGTTAACAGATTCACATCAATAAACTAAACAACTTAGATATTTTCACACAAGAAGACAAATACTAAAGAAGCGTTAGCACTAAGCACTTGCTGAGTTAGGGAACCTTGGGCTATTTGATCATCGGAAGAAGGCTGAGTCCCGGCTGGAGGGAGAGAAAAAGACACGCTTATTTTCAAGCTCTGTCGTTCGAGAGGGGTAAAAAAAAAAAAGAGCTAAAACTTAATGTTGGTCCACAAAAGAAGAACGGAGACGTTGGTAGAAGAAAAGTTTCTCATCAGAGACACCTCACCAACTTCTTGAGGAACAGCATAAAACACCCACAGAGCCCTCTAGCCGCGCCCGCCGAGGGCCGTTCTGCGCCTGCGCACTCCGGCGGCGGCGCTCCCGGAGGGGCGGGGGCGGCGAGGCGGCCGCCGGAAGTGCGACCTTCGCTCCTTCCAGCATTCCCATCCGGGTCACGTCGAGCTTCCGGGTTCTTCGGCGCCGCCTTCTCGGCGACTCTCTGGTCTTCCTCTTTACCACCGCCCTAGAGTTTGTACACCTCGTCGGGCCTCGTTTCTCGTGCTGCACCTCCGCTGTCGCGCTGGGCCATAGGTCGCCGGCCTGAACCAGAGCCGGGCCTGGGCCTCCCGGGGCGCCCCTGCCTCCTCTGCCGGGCGGGCCTCGCCAGGCCACCGCGGTGCGCGGCGGGCGCTGCGCTGTGCTGCTTTCCGACTGCCCTGAGGTTAGCTGGTTGTCCTGGAGGGTGCGGCTGTGCAGCCCGGGTGAGGGCGGGGCGCGCGGTTAGTTTTTCTTGAAAGCAATGTTTTGTTTTGCCTAGGAGAAACCCGCAGGCTCTAGAGGGCAGTCCCTGGGAAGCTGCGTCCTTGCGGACTCAGGGCCTCTTGGATTTTCTCTGCCTCGCGTCCTGTCCTGCCTGTCCGATCCCTGTCGGGGACCACAGAGGGAAGATTGTCTCAGAACTTCTGCATGGTGTTTCAGAGGGCAGTGGAGAACGAAGGTAAAGGTCTGGATTGATAATTTTAAAATGCACTTACTTTAAGATTTTTAAGCAGCAAGAATTGCCTTAGTTGGGACTGAGTTGTATCCCATCAGCCTTTTGTAGGTGGGAACTTAATAAGGAACCACGGGGTTTGTGTGTCTTAAAATTTCTGGCTTACTTACGTTCCCTATATTTGTCTCCTTCAGTTCTTTAAAATAGTTATACTTATTGGTGTAAATAGAGTGAAGAGAAAAAGAAACTAAAACTGAGACCAAATTGGCATCTTGTTAAGAGATACTCGGTGTGATTTTGTGAAGTGAAACTAAGTGTATTTTTTTGGCAGGCAACTAGGAGTATTACGGTTTGTATGGCACAGATTTTAATATGATTAACAGTTGTAAGGCTCTGACTTAAGTATTAGTACATGATAACACTAATATGACTTTGATGTGCGTAGCTCCAAATTATGTTTACTCTAGAAACTCCCTGTGACACATGTGAAACAGGCCATGTGTCAGTCATTTCAGAAATGTCTATTTGGTAGCTGGTGTCTAGATCCTTTTTTAACACTTGAGTAGAACTTGATTCTTAATAAAGAGGAATGACTTGACCAAAATCTGGAGCTGATTTTAACGTGGGTTGCAGGATTTAGGAATTGGGCTTTTTGTGTTGTGGAGGAAAAAGTGGGTTTAGGGCATCAAAGCATCTTGGGCAGAGTGGACAGGTGACTTGCTTTAGCTAGTACAGTTCCATATGTTGTATTAGATTCTACTTTCCAGGGAATCCTGATGAAAGAGTCATGTAACTGAGTATTCTGTAATTTGTTGGAGAGGTCAAGTTGAGGACAAATACCTGAGTGTAAATTTCAAGATACAATAGTATATCCCTGGGAAATATCTTATAAACCTACTGTTTTGTCTCATAGATGATCATTTACAAATAAGCCTGTATAATTTCCAACTGAATCAAACATAGTGAGGAAGCAATATTTTCACAGTCAATCTTCAGTGTTTTCTCTTTACAAGAATCAGCACAATAGTTTTAAAATTAGTTTAGATTTTATCTACATTATTTTATAGTTAGAAGTACAGATAACACTTAATTTTTAAGGTAAGAAAAATAGCATACTGCCAATCTCTAGTTTATTTAATCATAAAATTTGACAGACTTACCACACATAAGGTGGAATAATATTTTATATAGATCATCTATACTTAGTGAATAAGCTTTTCAGTAAGAATATAGAAGCCCAGTGTGGTGGCATGCATCTGTAATTCTAACAGTCTGGGAGGCTGAGGCAGGAGGAGTGCAAGTTCAAGCCCAGCCTGGGCAATTTAGTGACTCTGTGAGACTCTGTCTCAAAATAAAAAGCAGGGGCCAGGGAGATAGCTCAGTAGAATAAGCGCTTGTCTGGCCAGTGCAGGGTCCTGAGTTCAATCCCTGGTACCTCAAACAAAACAAAACACAACATGACAAGAGGGGACTGGTGATGTTGCTCCATGTGAAGGCCCTGGGTTCAATCCCCAGTGCCACAGGAAAAAAATAGATAAAGATTTAAAGTCATTGCAGCCAAACTTTTATTTTAACAATATCCCTTATGTTGTTTATTATTTATAATGAGTTCTTGTTTTGGTATTATTATCAATATTATTACTGAAATGGGTAGAAAAAAAAGGATAGGAATTCATGAGGTTTTAGTTTACTTTCTGATCTTTAGCTGGTCATGCAGCATTCCTATGTAGGAGAGCATGAAGTACTATTGACTAAATTTCCTATAATGGTTTTCTCCACTTTATAAAGATTGACCTGATTAAGAGCCTGCCTTAAGAACCAAGATTCTTGTTGGGGAGAGCCGGACAGATGTTTTATTTTGTAGAGGTTTCAAAGTCAGAGTGGTTTTCTCCTGGAATTTTGAATAACTGAGCTAATTATCTGTCCTGGAGTAAGCTTTTGGCTGGGATGAGCTTGCAACCTTGGGATAATTTGGTGATTTACTTTGTACAGTAGTTCTTGTCAGGGACCCAAGATATTTTTTGACTTACATGTTTAGATTTGATCATGTAATGAATTAGAAATAAGTTAAGGTCTGGGTACTGTCTAATTTTGTATCAAGTCTGAATCAATCAGCATATGTATATATGTATGTATGTATCTTTTTAATCTGTCTTGTTTGGGTCTAGAGCAGGGGTGGCAAACTTATGGAACACATGTCTCAGCAGGCTATGTGCTGTCTTTGAAAGCTCTAAAATATTCCTCATCACTAATCTATAAAGAAAAACATAGGATTTATAGGTATTGATCAAATAATCTAGGTTTAAGCTGTGAACTAATGTTTTTTTTTTTTTTAATGTATTTAGTACAGGGTCTACAGGGTCTCACATAGATAGGACTTGTAATTCTCCTATTGTCAGCCTCAACCCTGGGATTGCAGGCATGTGCCACCGTGCCCATTCTTCAGTGATGTCTCAGTGCTCCCCGGGGCCGCGGCTGGGGCAGGCAGGGCATTGCTGGAGATCAAACCCTGGTCACTATGCTCTGCCTAAGCAGGCACTTTAGTCAGCTGAGCTATCTTGCCACTGTCCCTCCCCCCCCTTTTGTTTAAATTTAGTGGAGGTTCTACAGGGTCTCACTACACAGATTGGACTCGTATTGATTCTCTTGTTTTCAGTTTCCCAAACCTTGGGATTACAGGTGTGCACCACCAGGACCAGTCTCAGTGGCAGTTTCAATGGGCCCTGGAGGCAGGGCCAGCGCAGCATATGGGACCAGGGATCGTACTCTGAAGATGAGATTTCAAGTAGTTATTTCAATGAATCATATGTAATGTTATTTTCTCTTAATAGGAATTATGTTTTATGGAAAGTTAAACAGTGATGAGCTTGCTGTTTAGCAGGTCTAGAGCATCTTATTGAAAACCTGCATGAGTTCTCATGAGAAGTCCATGTATAGGGTTTTGTGAACCGTCCTTGCTGTGTGTTCCAGGATGCCTTACTCTGTCTCACTATGGCACATATGTTATTATTATTTTCTCTTTTTTTCTGTATTTTAGGGAAAGGTCTACAGGGTGTTCAGGGTCACACTACTAGATTGGACTCATAGTGATTCTCCTGTTTACAGCCTCCCAAATGCTGGGATTATAGGCATGCACCACCATGCCCAGTGTCAATCACCATCTTAGCATGGGCCATGGGGGCGGGGCCAGTGTGGCAGGCTCGGGGTTGGAACCCCGGGCCCCTGAGCTGTTATTTTTCTTTTAAGACAAAAGATAGGAATTTTTCTAAACTGAACTGAAACCACGGTATTCAGGGTTAACTGCAGTGTTATTACTTTGAGATAAGTAAGTGGGTTTTGGGTTGCAGTTTGAGTATTCATCTCTAAAAAGTTCACCATCACTGATCTAAGGCCATTTGATTTTGTGGAGTTCTTGACATTTTTACTTCTGAATTTAATAGTGAAATACCCTCTTTGTTTAATCAGTAAGAAATTCAGTGTGCTGCATTATTATATTCTCAGGTCCTATATGGGGAATAATCATACCAGATAATCATACCAATGAAAAATTGATCAATTCCATAGCTATCTCAAGACTGGGAAGCTGGCTGTTCATTTGCGGTTTAACCCAGTGCCCTTGGACCCATGGATGACCTAAGTACATTTTCCTATCCACCCTGAAGGCAACCAAGGTTATAGGGTGTAGAGAGCCACTGGGTACCATTTATTGCTTAACATACTTATCCCAGCTTTTGCTCCCCAGTTGGTAGCAAACAAATCAGTATCTCTTAACACAAGTGAGTATCTTTTGTGTGGGATTGATCCACTTATCACAAGTATTAATTTTTGTTCCAAACAAATGGAGTGTTGGTTTGCTGAGTTGCCTCTTTTTTATTTAGCTAAGCTTCTGACTTGTGCCTTCATAATTTTGTTATATTTTCCCTCTGGGTACTTAAGACTGAGTCAAAGTGAGACCTATGTTAATCAAAATTAATCTTGTTATCTATCTATCTACACAGAGGTCAGTTTAGGTTTCTCAGGCATTACTTCTGGAGCCATGGGCAGAGTCTCTTTGATGTTTCAGTTTTTCCAGTATCAGTTCTGTCATCTGTCAGAATGGTCACAGTCTTATTAGACAACATGGCTTCCCTCTTTAGTGACTATCCTTTTAGCACAAGTATTCCTGGGTGATTCCTGTCTTCTGGGGTCTGTCAGTCTCTGTGCTTGGGGGTGATTCCTCCTAGTTGTAGGAGCCTATTGAATATCTTTTGTTACTGTTTCTTTATTTTTTAGTATTGGGATTAAATCAGGGTCTCTTCACTGAGCTGTAGCCCTAGACCTTTTATATATTTATTTTGAGACAGAGTCTTACTAAGTCATTGAGTTGCCTGATGTGGACTTGAACTTATGATCCTTCTACCTCAGCCTTCCAGAGTGCTGGAGTTACAGATACCTACCACCAGGTATCATTAGACTATCATTTTGCAACTCTTATCTTCCTATTTGAGCTGTTACCTTCTCTTTGCCATCTTCCCAGGAATTTTCTTTTGTCTGCCCTACAAAGGACTTCATTTTTATTGCATAGGTAGTGTAGTGGGGTGTAGAAGTAAAGCTTGAGAGCATTTTCCTTAGGCCTTTAAAGGCGTTAGTCTATTGTGTTTTCCACTGTTGAAAAACAGCAATTAGAAAACACAAATTTTTTTGAGACAGGGTTTCACTGTGTTGTTCAAGGTAGCTTTAAACTCACTTTGTTCCCCAGGTTGGCCTTGAACTTTCTGCAGTCCTCCTGCCTCAGCCTCCTGAATGCTAGGATTACAGTGTGCACTACCATATGTGGCTCCCAAAGATGTTTTGAATCTCAATTTTTAAAAATTTTACTTTAGATTATTTTATGAACCCATATTTTGAAATTTTAATATATAATTTCTGGATATAATATCATTTTCTTACTGTGCTTTCTAGTTGTTATGTCTTTTTAATCTAGGGACTGGTATCATTTAGTCCTGGACAATTGTTTTATTTGTTTGGTAATTTCCTTTGTATTTACTCTGTTCTTTCTGAACCTTTGGTATAATGTTGTATGTTGGAACACATTGCTTCTCTGTTCTTTTTTTCTCTGCTATTAATGCACCTTACTTTACTCCTGCCTTATCAGTCTTCCCTTTTTGTTCTTTCTAATAAATTTCTCAGCATTATCTTTTTTTTCCTTCCTTTTTACTGGATAGTTGTGCTCACTAGTTTTTATTTTGTTGTTATTTATTTATTTTGACTCTTCATTTGACATATTTATAGCCATATCTTTCCTCCCTTTCTGGTGATGTCCAGAAATGTCTAAGTGAGAGCTACTAGAGATCTAATGTTCTAAAATCAAGCTAGATACCATGGGTGTAGGTAATGCCTCCAACTATGGTTGGCTTCACTGCAGGTTGATCAAGTAGCTGCCCTCATTTCTTCGTGGTGGACCTGCAGTTGTTACTTTATGAGTAATTTCTAATTTTGTTTATTTTATTTTTTTAAAAATATTTATTTTTATTTATTACATTTATTTATTATGTGTGTGGCCAGCTCAGCCCACCAGGGGGCGGGGCTGGCTGGCATGTGGTGCTGGGGATCGAACCGCGGTCCCT